TCAAGACCTTGTATGTGTCTAGAGGCATTGCTGAGACCTGATCTGACCAAATAACTCCTTTTTGGTCCATTGTCAATTGGAGGCTTGCTTTGACATCTGAGGCTTTGGCTTCTAGAATAGTTTCAAACCTTTTCCAGTTTGCAATATAAGTTGTAGGAGCCCTAAAAAAAAAAAAAAAAGGTCTATGTATACAAATAAGAAGAATTAATGTGTGCATGCGGATTGGAATTGTTAACTACTTGATGTTATTTGAAGTCAATTCTTTCGCATGTTCTCCTATAAACGCCACTTTCAAATTAATTGGCCCCAAGGAACGAAGATAGAATACAACTCTATATTGTTTTCCTTGCTTAATATTCTGAAAGAACAAGCAATATACGAGTATCAAAACATAATGGATATTTTATATATAATCTAGCAATTACATCTTCAAATATGTGTATGTCCCTATATATATTTATATATATATAGAGAGAGAGAGAAGCTTACCATGCCCCAGAAACCAGGATTAGAAAGACCGACATCATTAGGACATTCAGCATGAGAAGAACAATGGATATCCAATTTGACAGCCATTTTATTGCTAGAAAACAAGGATGTAGGTCCATTTTGAACATTAATTCGGAACTTAATTTGAAAGCCATATTTCAACTTGGACGTTTTCGGGATGCCCTTAATAACTAACGAATGGCAAGTGCTTTTCCTTGTGTAGATCCTATTTCAATGGGAACTTGATGAGTCGATCCGCCTACACGTCAAGGATGTAGGTTCATTTTGAACATTAATGTTTGACCTATTTCCTATTACAGTCCATGGAGAGATGCTTGGGGGACTCGTTGTGCCTCCAGCTTCAAAACCTTAACCAACAATTCAAGTAGTTTGTGTAAGGCTGATTATAAATAATCTCAAGAAGAAAAATCTTAGAGAGAGATTATGGAAATGGCTTTTACCTCTGTTGTTGACAAGCTCTGCCCACAATCCTCCAGCTCCAGCATGATTAATTTCCTACAAAATAGTATTATAATCATTTCCAGTAATATGTGATGAAAAAGTATGCAAATAATGGTTAATTTTTATGAGCAAATTAAACTTAAATATATATTTCATGAGATTAACGTTCACCTCAAAAAATACTCCAAAAAAAATTTGGAAATTGGCTTTCCTGTAGAATCGGCGTCTACAACTAACGTAGAAGTAATGCTGTCAGAAAGAGTTTGAAATACAAGAGAAAGAGAGAAAGCTATGAATAAAAGTGCAGAAAATGTAATTTCAGAAGAAGCCATTGGGATTAATTAACATCTAATTCATAGTCGTGATTCTCTAGGGTCAGTGTTGCATGTATTTATAGCTTTTTAGGTAGACTTATTTACGTTGATTAATAATGGATTACTTTAAATGCTAAAGTGTTGTTAGATTTAGAAATTATTAATACCACTAGATTTTCTGTAGCAATCTGTCGGTGATATGCCTATCTGAATTCTTTAATTATTTGTACTTTGCAGATTTTCTTTCAATAAGTTAGTAGCCTTTTGTCTGAAAAGGTTTGTATTTTCTTTAAAATTATTTATATTTCAACTTTTTGCCAATATGACAAATTGTGACATTTGATTTTGACTATTTTGCTGCGATTTTAATTTGACTATATATACGCAATGTTTATACTATTATTAAGATAGCAATAAATGAGATAAAAATGAGTCAACGTTTAGAAAGAGAAAACAAAGAATGAATATAAAGAACCAGAGAAAGTGGACTGGGAATTTGTTGGTGAAATAGGCTTCATCCTTCTGAAAAATAATGGACTATCCAAGTTATGTAATACGCCCACACACACACTCTACCATACCTTAATTGGTAATATATAATTTAAACTAGACAAATACCTTTTTTATTAATATTGTTAATTATTCAGTCCAAAAAAAATATTGTTAATTAATTTTGTCCCTTCGAAATTTCAAACTCTTACCAAATTAATCTTTATTTTAAAGATATGATAAATTCTTAGTGGTTATATTCATCATTGAAGTCAACAATGTAAAATCATATATAAATTACAAATACTTTACCTTACCAGAAAGCTAAGAGACAAATACAGTGCTCACGTTAATGATGATTATTTTATCTCTTAGCTTAGAAGGTATATTATATATTTAAAATACTGATTACTTTGATGAGATTTTGAAATTTTGCAGGGACAGAATTAATTAACAATATTAGGCATTACAAAGATATTTGTCTCTTAAATTTTTGGTAAGGTTAGATCTTTCACGGAACATTTCGAATGGGTTTTAAAAATTTGACTAAAGTAGAAATTTTAAATAAAGAGGAGATGTTTATGTAATTATAGCAAAATGAAAGTAAAGTCACTTGTATTTCATTATTAAGGTGTTCAACTTGTTCCGTCCTGACAGTCTCATCTTAGTCCCGATCAATTGGAGACAGGACAAAAAAAATTTGGGACAGGACAGGATAGTAATTGGGACGACACGGGATGCAGGATGAGCTTGTGCCGCTCGGAGGAATTTTTTTAAAAAGATATTTATTAATAATTATTATTCGATTATTCAATTAACTTAATAATAATAATGAAAATAATAAATTTTTATTGTGATTTTTAACTCTTAAATTGTAGTGTTATCTCAACAAAATATCTTTCTTTAATAAAATAATTCGTAAAGCCAATATACAATATTCTTTTTATGGTTTTTTTATAGTATTGTTTTTACACTTTTTTTATGTTATATAATTGAGCTTTTTACACAATATTTTTGAACGATGTGTTTATCTTCAAAAGCCCAATAAAAAACAAATTAACATAAAAAAATTCATACAAAAAATTAGAATATTTGTCTTTTGATAAAAGAAAAACAGGATGAGGGACTGGGATGAGACACGAGACAGAAATCCCATCCCATCCCTGTTCACTAGGACGAGACTAGAACGGACTTGTCCCAGTCCCATCCTGTGAGTAGTCCTATTTCATTCTACCAAAAAAGAAAGTGTTTTTCCACTAGCCAAAAATATATTTTTACTCCTTTAATTTTATACAAGATTTCAGTTTTTTATTTTTAAAAGTATACTTTTTGTCCTTTAATTTTAAAATTATTAATAAAATATGATAACATTGAGATAATAAATATTAATAAAAACATTCTCAAATACTAAAATATTTAAGTTTAATTTTCAAAACACTCTTGATTGTTGCAAAAAATATCATTTAAGCCTCATGATTTTAGAGTTAAAGGACAAAAATTATACTTCACTTATGGGTTCAAAATGAAACATCATATAAAATCAAAAGACCAAATGTATACTTTTACTCTTTTAGCAATCCATTATGTCTAAATTAATTTTGAAAATGAAAAATACAATAAAAATAACGTTATAAAAAATGATAATAACTTCAAAATATCTTCATTATATTGAATTAATTTTGATGCCTTCCAACTTGGGCTTCAGCCCAAAAATAAATAAAAATAAAAATATGTACAGCAATAATTTTAAATGGAATCACATATTGAGAAGTTATAACTTTCCCTTTAGGAGGCTTTTAGATCCATTATGATATGATTTAGAGCATATCCAAAATGATTATTGGCAAAGGTTTGGTTTGATTGGAATATGAAATGGAATATGTAATTAAAGAAAAAAGAAAGACAAACAAAAAAGGGGAGTATAATTAAAGATTTTGATTTGGACAGGTGCATATATATCAAGAGGAAAGAAAATTAAGATTGCATTGAGGTGATTCTTTATCGATGTATATATAAAGGGAGGAAGAGAATGACCGAAGACAGAAAAATTGAGATGGATTGAAAATTGAGAGACAGACGTTGAGGAAAGCTGAGGAACAGATAGAGAGTGATGTTGGAGGCAGAATAGGAAGAGATATAGAAAAATAATTGACAAGGGAAGGAAGAATAAGAAGAGATAGACAAGGAAAGAGAGGCCAAAAAGAAAGCAAGGAAAGTGAGATGCAGAGAAGTGAAACTGAAGATAAATACCCATGTCTTAAATGTAGAAGTTTGTAAAAGAACTTGAGTTGATACTAACTATAAAACCTCAGTCCATTTATAACTTGTGATCTTAAATTATTTTTATATTAGCTGTAGTTATTAAGGGGATTTTTGTAAAATAATTAAAAAGACATTTTAAGAAACCAACACACATTTTTTATAAATAATAATTAACTTAATTATCTTTTTAGTTTTTGTAAATTAGTTATCTAATTAAGCAAATACTAATTAAGCATTGGTTATGGTTCTACATCATGCCACCTTTTCATCTCTATAACTCCTTTTAGGAGTTTAGAGGGTTTGAGAAAAAGTGATTTTATTGCTATGTATATTTTTGATACTGTGTCAAATTAGAAGTGAAAATACGCTAACCAGACTAAACTTTGCTTTTAATAAACTAAACCTATCTGGTAACAAGCCAACCTAAACTGACCCGTGACTATCATAAATTTTGTTTCTAGCCTAAGCTTGGTTTGTAACCTAGCCTAAGCCTATTAAAAAGCCTGTAATTTTAAAATTTTCAAAATACATAATAAAAAATACATAGACTAGTGAAAAAAATATACATACTAAATAATAATTATTTTTTAATATTATTTGTAATTAAAATTTAAATGTTCATAAGTATTATTTTAAATCTCAATTACAATTAATATTATTGAAAACAAGTTATAATTATATGTTAAAATTTAGAATAAGACCACATATAAATACATAATTAAAATTAAAATTAAAATTAAAACAAATAAACAAGCCAAACTAGGCCTAACAAACTTCTCAAAGAACTTAAGCCTAGCCTCTTAGGCTATATAGGCCTTCAAAAAGACCTAAGCCTATTTCTATTTTTAAACAAACCAGGCCACAAACTCATGACAGGTCGCTTGACCTATTCCCATCTCTGTGCCGAATGAGCATTCATACAAAGTTACAAATTCAATTTTTAAATAAAAAACAAATTTAATTTATAAATATACCATATTACTGTTATAATAATAAACAGAATGAGATTAATTCAACATGAAACAGGGGAAGAAATTAATACCATATTGAATCAGCATATTTTAGTCAATCAACCGAAATAATATTGTCAGGGAAATTGATTCAACAGCACAAGAAACAAATAATCCCACTGATAAACATAAAGACAAACTAAGATGTATTTTACGCATCGCCATCACTCATACAGATTAATCATTTCCCTCCAGGACCACCAAAGAGGTAATCCAGGGAAGATCCACCACCTGGGGCAGCGTGAACCTTGGTTGATGGTCGATCCTGCACCCAAGCAGATGCTACAATATTGAGAATAATATTGATTTGGCTTCGTTACCATAAATTTGTTTAGGTACAAGCAGATAATAATAACACTCTGTCCCTACTTTCACAAAGCAATATAAACATATACAAACTATTACGTAATGGTTACAAGAACATAATAGACATTGCATGAAAGGAATCTCTCTGTTACAGTCATAGCAGCAATAGGCCGTTAACAGGAAAAAAGAAATTTTACTCAACCCTGACTGAGAGCAGGAAGAGAGATGTATCATGTCAACTACCTCTTTTGGATGATAGAGCAGAAAGAGAGACATATTCTATAACTTGCCATGAGAGATTCTTTTCCTCAAAGCTCTGCCACCAATATTACCTCTGATTTCTCTCTCCCTCTCTCTGTTCTTTTCCACCCTTATTCGCACAGAAATACTCATTTCATACTAACATGTGGCTATTTCTTGTTGAATTGGTTCTTTGAATTCTTTCAACTTCCAAGTTTTCCAGTAGTTTCTTATCGATAAGGCTACAGTTCCAAAAAAGAATACGAAGAAGACATCATTGGAATCATGGTAAATCCTTTGAGAATCTGATACAAATGAAATGTAACTATTTGGAGTTTCTGCCTAGATTGTTTTATCAATTACTGCTTAAAGTTATTTTGGTTATTGTACAGATACGCACCGTTCACAGCATGCATTGCAATTTAGTTTTCACTTTATCCAGAAATCTGGTAAGATGGGTAACTCATGTACAATTCAAATAGAATCTTTTCCATTAGCATTTCATGTCACAATTTGATAACAGCGAACTATGTTTATAACCTCTCCTGTTTTCCAGTGAAGAGGTTTGTGGGCCCAAATTCAATTGAGCAGTTTTTAACCGGTAACTAATGTTTCCTTCTTTTTTTTTGGGGGGGGGGGGGCTACAGACCAGTAACTAATGTTTCTAGGATTTCCCATTTTGCAGTATTACTATTATTCTAAACGTATTATACTTTCATCAAGTTTTTTATATCCATGTCAAGTTCGCCAATCACACGTGTCTGTGTATCCTGTTTTTGAAATATTATCATTTATCATAAACCCATATAAATAAAACAAGACACATGACCAGGTGCAATTGAAGAACTTGAAATAATGAGCATAAGGCATTTAACGTAAGTATTTTCTTCCTAAATTGTGTTTTCTTATTAGCTCAGCTTGTAGAAACCAGCATAACACCTTCTTCATTACTTTTTAATGAACATAATCAATAAAAGAGTTGTAGGAAAAGAGATTCCCATCCTCATATCCAACAATAAACATTGACAAATTGAACAACCTCAGAATTTCCTAGGCCAAGGCCAAGGGCAACAATGTATGGCATACTACCGACCTATGAGAGATAGAAAATCATTCATCATGCCTCAAACAAACTAAATAGGACGGTTGAGAGTACTCTACCGTGATGAAATTGCCACAGTTTTGCCCTTCAGCACGATGGTAGTTGTTTGTAAGATTCCCAGGCGCTCCAGCTGGAACTTGCTTTTCAGTTGGTGGTGATGCAACAGCTGCATTTGGTGAAGGCCCCTCATTTGCAGGCTGAGCTTGAAGCGGTGCAGCTGGAGCTTTGCTAGGATTCTCCCCACTTCCAAAGAGATATCCCAAAGAACTCTCACCACCACCACTACTGACCCCACGACCCATTTGTTAGTTTTTTTGACCTTAAGTGGCTAAACCTGCATTGAACAACCTCTCTTTAGAAAATTTGACCTCCAGCATTTAAAATAATCAACAAGAGCATAAGCTTGACCTATGAATAAATTCAAAATGAGAAAGCATGTGGTTGCCAATACCCCAGGCAGAATCATTAATCATCAGTCCATCAAAACAGAAAAGTAATGAGTATCAACAACAAGTGTGAATTCAAACTACTTGGAGTATTTTAGGAGTTGGTTATGTATATTCTTTAACGCTTGAACACCATTTATTTAGGGAATTGCAGGCAGATATTTAACCAGTAGCCCAAACTGAGAGTGGACAAATAAATTTCTTAGCAATGACAAGATGAAATAACTCTTAAATTTTAAAAGCATGTTGAATAACATGCTGAGCATGCTTAATAGCGCGGAGAAAGAATAACCATATCATAGAAACAAATTGTGGAGAATGAGGTGAAAATGGCTTGCAATCCACTATTTGTTTTCTTTCCTATATTAACATGTTATCACTTCTTTCAATGAAAAATGTCCTGCAGAACAAAGCAATTGAACCCCAGATTATTCTATTCGTTTACAAAATTAAGGTCGGTCAGAACAAACTTAAGATCCAGTTTGAAATCCCCATAAAGCTACACCCTAGGTGCATTCAATTCATTGTAGCTAGGAAAAACTTGGACATGACTTTTCTAATCCACACCCACAAACTAATATAATATAATGGGCCATCAGTTGAAAGCAGCTTCCAAGGCATCTACCAAGCGTCCCAATGAACAAATCTAGAAGTTTAAGGAGCAGAGAAGAACATGCAAAATAGTTACCGCACCGGCAGATCAATGCCGAAATAATTCTCGGAAAGCAAAAGAAAATCATGCCCCCGAACAACCATTAGTCAAGAAAACCAGGAAAACTCAAAAAGGTTATGAGAACAATTTTGACGGACATCGTGCGGTGACCAAGCGGAAAGGATTACAATACACAGATTGAAATGCATTGCTTATTACACAAATTAAAAGGGCTATCATGAAATCAGAGATATGGGATTTCCATACCTTCGTTTCCCAAAACCCAATCGCAGAGAGCAGAGAGAGGCGAGGCACAGGTACAGTCACAAATATGAAATAAAATAAACTAGGTTTAGAAAGTAAATAAGCAAAAGATATTTAGAATTTGAAAAGATGAGGAGAGCGAAGCCGTCAAATCAAACCCAAAAGGGCAATGATTTATCGATTTTCCTTTTTTTAAAATGTTTTCCTTCGTTTATTCGGTTTCGTTCGGTGGGGCTTTGGCTTTCTCAGCGACATTTTGAATTTTTGATATTGATTGACGCGGTCAAGGGAGTGAGCTGGATACTTGGCTTTGGTTCCAAATAGCGGTGCACCGTTCTCCGGGCTGGCAAATCATGGGCGCGGTTTCTCTCCACTGAGCTTCCCGTCCACTGCGCCTCCACTTCGGCTCTACGACAATCGTTTGGAGCAAACAGTAAAACGCAGTTCAAATAGATTGTCGGCTATAAACTTAAATTCCAAAATTACAGAGAACCAAGGGGCGGAGCACATGCTTTTACGGGGTGATATGGATACATATGTAGGGCCCACAAAATATCACCAGTAAAAATATATTTTCATCCACAATAAAATTTATTTATAAATAAAGAAATAAAATTATCCTTTTTAAAGCACCATATAAATATAAAGCAAAGTGAGAAAATTTTTTTTGTCCTATTTATATATTATATCATTAAATTTTTAATATAAATATATTATTTTATTTTATATAAACTACTTCCCTAATCCTATTTTTTTGTCTGTTCGCTAATCCTATTTTATTTCTCAAAGAAAGATAATTTTATTGTGATTATTTATAAATATATTTTGTTTTGGATGAAAATACATTTATACTCTTGGTTTTCCTTATTGTGATTATTTATAAATATATTTTGTTTTGGATGAAAATAAGTTTATACTCTTGGTTTTCTTTAATTTTGGAATTCAGGTTCAAAAAAATAGGATTAAGGAAGTAGTTTATATAAAATAAAATAATATATTCATATTAAAAATTTAATGATATAATATATAAATAGGACAAAAAAAATTTTCTCACTTTGCTTTATATTTATATGGTGCTTTAAAAAGGATAATTTTATTTCTTTATTTATAAATAAATTTTATTGTGGATGAAAATATATTTTTACTGGTGATATTTTGTGGGCCCTACATATGTATCCATATCACCCCGTAAAAGCATGTGCTCCGCCCCTTGGTTCTCTGTAATTTTGGAATTTAAGTTTATAGCCGACAATCTATTTGAACTGCGTTTTACTGTTTGCTCCAAACGATTGTCGTAGAGCCGAAGTGGAGGCGCAGTGGACGGGAAGCTCAGTGGAGAGAAACCGCGCCCGGCAAATCATAGAGCTCATTACAAATCATTATCTACAAACATAAAGTGCTCTTCAAAATTCAAATGGAGTTGAATATACGTAAATTCTAATTTTAATCAACCAAATTCTTATGGAAAAAAACAATTTTTCAATAATTTATTGATTTCTATTCGTTTTCCTGAATTTTCAGATTGATTATTGTTTTTTAATTTCACAGCTTAGTGTGAGATACAAATATGCCCACCGAGGAAAGAAATGAAGTTTTACTTCCTCGCCTTTTAATATGGACAAACCAAAATTGAGTTTAGTTTACCATAATTTTTAATTTAATTCATATAATTTTGATTTATTACTCATTTCATATAAAGTTTAATGATATTTTAAAAGCAATGTAATATTACAGAAAGTAAAACTCATATCTGATCCTTCTTAGTTAATCAAATTATGCTTAAGGGGTGTTTGGCAACAGCAATAAGTGTTTTTAAAAAGTACTTTTCCATAAAACGAGATAATCTCCTCCACATATTTACTTCGTACATCGTAAAAACACTTTTAAAACTATGATTTGGTTTTTACCCAAACACTCTCTTAGATAACATGCCACTTGGCATGAACCTTCTTATTTTTCATGTAACCCAAGTAGTTTTTGCATCAGTCCACGTGAAGATCAAGAAAGAGGAGTAACCCATGGTAAAATTATCAATTTTAAACCTAAAATTACGATTTTTAATTCGTAGTTAAATAAAAAAAATCAATAAATAATACGAATAATAAAGAGAAACTCAGACATGATCTTGAGGTTGGGGAGAAATCGCGATGTTGCCTGTATAGCAAAGAGAATTTAGATACAGAACGACGCCTAGTAGTGATTTATTATCCGAACGGGTTTCATGTATTAAAGTTAATAATTGATACTAATAATTTATTATATTTTGCACACACAAAAATTAGAGAATTTCGGCTAAAATAAGAGTTTCACGATAAAATTCATCAAAAGCATTTTGCAATTCTTCATAAGATAACTTGGGCCGAGGTTTATAATCGCATACCTCATTTAATTAAGAGGATCCCATATTTCTTTTTGGTGTTTTAAAAGTGGAGACTCTAATTAAAGTACTCATATGGCTATATGATCAATTTAGCTTCATCATTCAATAAGGCTTTGTTTCTTTTCTATCTATCCACTCATCTCTGTCTTTGAGAATCTTTCATAATTGACCTCATAAATTGAAATGAAAATGATCACTTTATAAGATATACACCCCCTCCCTTTTAAATCATATAGTAGTACATTAGAAACTACCAATATTAATATATGTATTTGATAGAGATATTTTTAAAAAAAATAAATATAAAAAATACAAAATATCTTACATTTAAAATTTAAATAAACTACAACTGCTTCGCAACTAGCAAGTCTAAATTACTTATAAATGACACATTCTCATATATTAAGGATTAAAATTTTTTCTTATAAATGACTAATATGAGTGCTATTAAAATTTGATTTTTACTCTTCCACTCAGATCCGGCCGCAAGGTGCGTTGTTCCCTAATTGTCGGTTCACACCGACAGTCTTCAATAAAGTCACACCTACCGAAATTGGTCTCATCAATGCCGAAGAGTTTAGTTCATCCAATTATGCTTCTCAGGTCAAAAAAGTAATTCCAACTATGCTTCACATAATCGCATTGAAGAGTTGTTTGGGTTAAATCAAAATCATAATTTGAGATACAAAACCGTGGTTTCAGGATACTTCCATTTAAACATGTTTTTTTCTCCTGAATTGCAACTAAATCTAATTGAAATACTAGGGTTGTGTAAAAATCCAGTGATCTAGTATGGTCCGGTTCAACCCAAGAAAACCCGATCCAGTCCGGTTCAAAATAAATTGGCTTGAAACAAAACTGGACCGGACTGGACCAGACTGGTCTTATTGGGTTGGATTGGACTAGGAACTAGCCTCTCAGACCAGTTGGTTCAGTCCAATCTAACCCGATTTTTTTAATTATTATTTATATATTATAAATTTGATTTAATTTTTTTATATAAGTTTTTTGTTTATTCGAATAATCAAGATTTATCTATTAACTTCCTAAGTAATGAGCATGCGTATATATTTTCTACAATATAAGATTTATATTAATGAAAATTAATTAATAAAACATGACATTACTGGGAAATTGAAAGGGAATGATCAAGTTTGATGAACTTTGGATTAAAATATGTGCAAAATTTTATATAGTAAGTTATAATCTTATCTCCTATTGAAGAAATTTTTTTTAAAAAGAATTAAATTTAGGTCCTGGACTACCTCTAGAGGACCAAATCCAATCCAACCCGACCTCAGGTTGGTATTGGGTTAGACCAGACCTTGGACTATCTTTTTCAGCCTGAGGTCTTTAATGGACCAGACTTTGGGTTGATAACAAACCCAATCCAGTCTGGTCCACGCACACACTTATGAAATACCAAAATCTAAAATCAAGCGTACATTTTGAGCAAATTCTAATTAGGCCGAGAAGTCTAATTAAGAATTTTTGAATGGTGTTAAAAGTCCGGAATGCCCCTTAGTAGTTAAAATGTGAGTGCATTTTTTATATATTTTTCTCCCTCACAAATTTTTTCCTAAAATATGAAAATAGTATATCTTCAATGGCAGTTACAGCACAGTCCAGCACCTTAACCAATTTAACAGTGTAATTACTCCAGCATGCTTTTATATTTTAATTTTTAATGGGTTTAATTTCTGCTCAATTTTAATATTATCCATCCTTCATATACTTGATATATATATATATATATATATTAAATGCCAACACCATATATTTAATACTTCTCCTGTTCTTAATATAATACCTAATTGTTAAGTTAGTTTGGATTCTAAATATAAGACCCGTTTATCACATTTATCAATTTTTTCTAAATTACCATTATAAATACTTCCTCAACCATATTCAAGTAAGTAAGGGAGGGAGGATATTAAAAAAGATGATTATGGTGTTTTAGGAAAAACATATATTTTTTTATAATTAACTAACTCACGTAACTTCTTTAATCTAATCAAATTAGTTAAATAGGTCTCATATTAAGGACCAAATAAGTATATGCACACATATACACTTAAAAAGTGGCAAGTTTTTTTTTTTTGGTCTATTAAGAGTCAAAACAAAGTTACATCCCAAAGAAAACGGAAGCAGCATATGCAGTAATCAAACTAGAATACAAATTTAAATGGAAACGGAGGATTGTAATTTATAATTATGTTGTTCTGAAACAATCGATGATCATGAATAAACAGGGATATAAAGATCTGGACCTTAGAAGGCCATTGCCAGGGACCAAAGAGAGAAATACGGTCCACCCCTTACTATTTTCATATTTCAGGAAAAGAATTTGTGAGGGAGAAAAATATAAAGATAACAACTCATTTTAATTAAAGAGGGGCATTCTAGACTTTTGATAATATTCAGCAATTCCTAACCAAGCCTCCTAGCCTCATTAGGAATTTGTTCAAAATGAAAGTTTAATTGTAAATTTTGATATTAAGACTGGATTTAATTAAAATTTTCTCAGTTTTTTTTTTGGCAGAATCACTTTTTAATTTAAAACCATGATTTTTCAAAAGTAAATTTTGTGTACTTTTGGGTTGGAAAACAATGGCTTTCTTTTAATTAGAATTATCCTTTTTCTAAAAATATATTTAATCTTATATGTTATAAATATATGTATACACATATTAATTATATTTTGGTGCTTTTTT